TTTTTTGGGCAGAGTTTTCCCTTTGCTGAATTAAGGTCAGAATCTGAAAAGGCCTTTTCTTCATCATCTTTTCCAGTGGTCTTTCCCCTATACCAGGTTAGCAGTGTGTGAGGAGTTGTGTTGGTGCTCCTGGCTTGGCCAGCACTGGACATTGACACATCAGTATGGCCACAAGTCCCTTTGGGGCAAATAAAGAGTCCACCCCCAAAGCCCTCTTGAGCTTGCCAGGAAGCTCCAGGAGGGGAAGAACCCACAAACACGCCCCTGTAGACATTCTGTATGGCTCGAGAGCAATCGACTAAGTACAGCTCATGAGTGGGGTCTTCATCTGAAAGGCCAGAAGAGTGGCCACAGTCAGAGAGCCTGACAGCAAGTCCAGGTAACCCAGCAAGTAAGGGTTGATATTACATGATTTGGAAGGGACTGAGGGACTTATTCCACCCACAAAGGCGAACCGGATGACATAAACATTACTGAGCATTTATAGACAGTACCATCGTGTATTGTACCCACCCTTTCCTATCTCTGCACAATGAAAAGAACATTGCACGACCTACTGTATTTTAGGTATGTGTGTGTGCCTACACATACGTCATACATGTCTAAGTGGCTTTGGTTATATTCCCGACACTAATGTTGATTAGATGCGATATAAAAGTGTAAGTTGTGTGTGAGTGCTTCCCACAACGCAGAAAAAAAACTAAATCATATTTCCCCTTTATTTATGTCAGACCAAAGCTGGAGAAATTACAGTGAGTCAGGAAGCACGCATGAATAATAATTATTCAAACATCAGTTCACTTTTCCTAAACTGCAAAAAATGGCTTTTCTTTCAAGTTTGAGTTATGCAGAAGATTACTTCCACATGTAATTGGGTTTCACCACTGCGAAGACACAACTTAGGCAAGAAAAGTCCTGAAACACTGAGCTTCCGTATTACTGGTTCGTGAGCTGTGAAAGTACTCCAGGGGATCTAAGAACTTTCCACCATTAGTGTTGATAAATAGAAAGACAGAGCTTTTCTATAATTGCATTTATCTGTTTTGCTGATTGAAATTTTGCCAAGCAGGTGACTGACAAGCTGCAGGCTTATAGTTCCCGCTCGTTTGGAGTGGTACACCAATGCTCAAAACTGTGTAAATGTCTCTGTGGGCTTCCTGGGTGCGAGCACTGCGGTGGCCTATTTTGTGAATGCGAACACACAGGAGTCTCTTCCTCCTCTGTTTAATAGACTGCTTGCTCCTTCAAAGCATCACTGGACTTCAAAACCAAATCTATTTTTTCCTAATTTTCAGTGGAACAGTGGGTTCCCAAGATTACAAAGCACACTACTGAAGAGAAGAAAAGGAAGACGAATGAAATTCTAAATTACCCATCTAAAGATATTAGAAAATTGCCCCAACAGCGAATGGGGGACTTACCAAGAAGCTTATGCCAGCAATTACCCTGCAAACACATTGGGATCTGGGTCAGAACATCTCTTCTGAGTTTGTGTATAGCAGGTCTAGTGTACTGTGAAACTCTGATCCTGTCAGTAGGCTATGTCCTGGGATAAGTGCCTGTTTCCTATCAGCACAGAGTCCGAGGTACATGTCGCATCAAAGGGGAACAGAGCATTCTCTTGGTTTGTTACCCCCAGGAACTTGCTACACGCCCCCCGCCCAAGGAAAACCATGGCATCATTGGATGTCACTGGAGAAAGGGCTACAGACCCATCGATCCATTGATTGTATTTTTTTTTTAAGAAAAAAATCATCCAGCCCAATGGTCAATTTAAAATTTAAAATTTAAAATTGATTTAAATTGATCAAGGTCCAAGATGTGTGGTGGATTGTAAAATGCTTAAGCCTAGCATGCACAAGGCCCCGGGTTCCATCCCAGCACTGGCAAAACAAAACTTAAAAGTTCAAGAGACTCTTTCAGGAAGAAATCTAGAAGGGGGTCTAGCGGGTGCAAATGGAATTCCTTGTTTTAGTTCTTTGGGGAATCTCCATACTGATTTCCATGGTGGTTGTACCAGTTTACATTCCCACTAACAATGTAGAAGGCTTTCTTTTCCGTGCAGTCTCAGCAGCAGTTGTTATTATCTGATTTCTCGGTGATGGCCAGTCTTTCTAGGGTGAGATGGAATCTCAGATACCTTCCTGAAAGAGTTGGACATCAGATTATATATAGTGACCCATGCATACCTGTGTTTATAGCAGCATGATTCACAACAGCTAAATCTTGGAAGTGGCCTGTATTTCCATCAACAGGTGAATGAATAAAGAAACAATGGTATTTATACACAGTGGCGTACTACTCTGCCCCAAAGGAGGATAAACTTGAGTCATTTGTAGAAAAAGGGATGCACCTTCAGTTCATAATGTTAAGAGAGCTGGGGATTTAGCTCAGTGGCGCCATTGCCTACCTCAGAAGTGCAAGGTCCTGAGTTTGATCCCCAGTACAAAAAAACAACAACAACAAAACATAACGTTAAGTGAAATAAATCAGAAACGTAAGTTTACATAACACATGGCTTCTCATGCATGAGAAATCCAAAGCGTACGTAAAAAGCAAAATAAAATACAACAGGAAGTGGGGAGATAGATCTTTCTCAAATGTGAAAGGGATCAAGGTATGGAGGAAGGAGGGAGGTGGGTAAAGGGGATGAAAAAAGGAATAAAGATGTATTCTGTACCCAGGCCAACTCCACCTAATGAACATCATATTATTACTGCAAACGTGGAATAATAAAATACCTAAAGTCAGAGAGAGCAACATTCCCCCACCCGCCTGCTATGGTTACATCAAGAAAGGACTGAAGAAAATATGCACATAGAATACCCACACACAATGAGAAAAGGAAGGGGTAAGGTGACAGTCTCAGGCAAAATGAAAATGTGTCCAAAGGAAATCAACACAACAATGAACTGGGGACTCGTGCAATGTGTGCCACTTATGGAAACAGCATATAGAGACTTAACTACATGTCCGCTCGAGTAGATATAGTACATACCAGAGAGTCATTACTCTGGACTGGGTTTCTAGAGAACTCCCAAGCCAAGAGGCAATAGTTGGTGTTTATATGCTGAAAATTGTGTATTTGGGGCTTCCGAGGACCATAAAATTGATTTAAAGAATGGCTTGCAAGGGTAAAAAGAGTAATGCAGGACAATTAAAGGCATGCAATTAAACTGGTTTGTTTCTAACTGCCTTCTAGTAATTAAGAGTTCATGCTTGGTGAAACTCAAAGGCAGATGTAAGATTTAAGATTTAAGGCAGTGTTCATGAATTAATAGGAACCCACCCACAAGTCTCCCCAGTGATAGGATGACTATCCCATCAGCGTGAGACTTGGACCTGTACACTAAGATGTACAAATTATTCATCACATGATTATTTTGGATTTTAGTTGTTATTTGCTAGGCTATTTGGTTTATTCAGTTCCTGGTCTTGAGCAGTATTTTACCAATGTAAGTGCCTAGAGTAGATGTATCTAGTACATATGGAGACAGCTAAACACTCAGAGAGGTAGGGCCTTGTAGAAACAGACAGAGGAAAGAAAGAGAAAGAAAAGGAGAGGGAGACAGAGGCAGAAGGACAGAGACAGAGGTAAGGTGGGAGAGGGGGACTCAGACCAAGTGTGTAAGCCGGCCTGATCCTCTCTCCAGCTGGGAGGGAGATGGGGTCTGGAATGGGCAGATGTGTGTGTGTGGTGGGGGGTGAGCCTCAACAGGAAAGAAGAAAACTCTCCTAATTCCAACATCTCCTTGGCGCCTTGATACCCACCCCATCCTGCACAGGAGCGACCGCACGTCCCAGTGGGCATCAGGCCTTCATCCATCCAGACCCAAAGGATGCTCTTTAAGGGTACTTCCTGTTTCTCAAACACCTGCTCTCCCACCCTGAGGTCTGCTGCACCCTGAGAGCCTGTTTCGGCCCGTTCTGGGGCTGGAAGATACGGTTCAGTTATGACAGCCCCCACGTTTCATGTCAAGACGACACCGCCACAGTCGTACCTAAGTGGTGGCCCTCCATTTTCAACACTTGCACCCCAAGGGGCTGCTGGATCCTTCAGAGGCGATGACTTTTCCCTTAAGATGGTTCTTCACTCGACAACACGCTCGTTAGGGACACGGCCAAATGCTCATGCAATGCCGATCTCGGGACATGAAGCGCTAATTCATATATTAGAAATAATACAAATCGGAACAACACTAAGACTCCAACTCACTTCAGAAAGAATAGATATCATCAAGAACTTGAGAAACAACAAATGCTTGTAAGGGAGTAGGGAAAAAGTTACCATTTCACACGGATGGTGGGAATCTACAACCGCTATGGAAACGAGTGTGGAGATTCCTCAAAGAACTAAAAATAGAAACTCCACTGGACTCAGCTATACCTCTTCTGGATAGCTTCCCCAAAGCGTTAAAGGCGTATTGCAGTGATCCATCCACACCCACGTTTATAAGTTCACAACTCCTAACAGCTAAGTCCTCGTAGCAGCCTATGTGTACCTATCCACACACGAATAGAAAAATAAAATGGGGTGTAAATAAATATATACAGTAGAATACCACCGAGGCATACAGCAGGTTACATTTGGGTCATTTGTAGGCAAAGGGATACACTTTGGAACATCATGCTGAGTGGAATAAATCAGACAAGAGTTAAATATCATTATGTTTTGTCTCATATGAGAAACCAAAAAGTATGACTAACTTAACAGAAATAAAAGAGAGATGATAGAAAACAGAGAGATAGACTCTGTGGAGGAGGGAAGGAGATCTGGAAATGGTAGCAGAGAAAAGGGTGGAGAGTGGGAAGGAAGAAAAAATGACTAAGATACAATACGTATATGAACCGATTACCTAAGACGAATGTAATTATTATGTATTGCAAATACATACGAATGAGAAAGAAAAAAAATGTACAGATATTGCAATGGTTAATAATGAATTGACACAGAGTCTTGATAGATTTCTTTTAAGAAAGGATTTAATTAGACGTCTCTCAAGCTGTCTGAAACCTATTTTGCATTACACACTTATAGGCGCTTTATTCAAACCAGTTTTCTTTCCGTAAAAACTTAACAGTGTCATTAAATCCAGACTGATACAGGGATTCCATTTTCCTCTTGCTTGGTGGGAAGAGGGCTTGGTTCAGCCTCACCAGGTTGGCCAGGGACAACTGGGAGAGAAGGATAAAGTTTAAGCCGTAGAAAATTACAGTTTGGGTAAATAGATGCTATTCATATATAGCTATTCATAGATGCTAAGCTTTCTTTTCACGGAAAGAATGAGCACTAACATTAAAAAACCAGCAGAAAAAAAAAAAAAAAAAAGC